TTATTATTATTATTATTATTATTATCATTAGATTATATTGTCAATGACTAGTGTCATACTACCTCCGTTCTCTTTTAGTTGCAACATTGGACTTTTTGCACTATTCGCATATTCTACTTTGACTACATTTTATTTATTTATGTATTATAAATTAAATTTTAAAAAAAAATTGTTACATTCTTCTCATTCTAAATTTTCAAAATATGATTTTTTAAAATTTTTTACTAATACGGAATGAAAGATATTAATGGTCAAACTTGTGCGTTGGCAAACGTGAAATGTTGACTGTTGCAATTAAAAAGGAACGGAGGAAGTATATTAAAATATATCTAATCTCATAATGAGGAAAAAATATAGGTGGATAGACGCACATCTTAATAGGAGAGTATTGCATCAAGATTATTGATGTCAGCGTTTTTGGATAACGAATGAGGTAAATTTTCGATTGAGTCGTAAATAGGCGTGACTTACTGGTCTAACGCCTAAACCATTGTCTCGATCAAGTCCATCAAGTCACAAGTAATTAAATAACCTCTTATTTGTTTTACAATGTCTAATTTATCATGGTTCTATTAACTAATTTAATGGCTTACTTATGAACTAATTAAATAACACGCACCCTTGGGAATGAAGGGAATATAATTTTTGTGTATGTTGAGAAAGGTCTAGCTTCTATGAAGAGAACTGGATTTAACAGTCTTGTGATCCCTTAATATTAGCTCTCCCGCAGCACTCAAAGGCCTCAACAACTAGGTAGGTTTATTGAGATGAGATTCTGATAATGAACAAAACCAATCCATTCCCGATTAGTTTGAAATGCACCAAAAGATTTTAAGGTCAAGTTTGGCATCTCATGAATTAGTAGTTGATTTGTTTTCTTCCTCTTTTCCTCTTTCAAGCTTGTTCTTGACGGGTCAAACATGAATCCAACCCATAGCCACCCTAGCTAGGACATACCATCACGGTCACTCTTTTGTCAAGCATATAATCCACATCATAAACACAGAAAAGTCATTATCAATGTCATCGTCTCCATATAATGAGATCTCCAGTCAAAATTAAATAACGTTAAAATGGATTAATAATTTTGAAAATTTTCGTTAGAGCTTCTAATGAGCACTACATACATGATAGCAAAATAGTTTGCACGTGATGTAATGCCCAATCAATGAGAGTAAATTAAAAATATCTTAGCTCATGAATTTGACTTAAAGTTCCCATGATGTGTGTAATAGGTGTATGTAGCTAAAATTTTAGGGATTTGACTGGCTGACTTAAATATATGTTTAAGAGGACCACTCAATTAATGCGTAATGAATAGAGCAATTTTGATCATGTCACATTACTCACATACCATGTGAGAGAGAAGGACTCTCTCTTCATATAGTTTTTTTAAGTAAGGTGGCCAAATTTGTAGTGTACCGTTTCAGAGTAGTCAATCCAAATAATGTGTAAGTTAACCAACCCAATAATTAATGACTTGTTTAGGTTAAGATTAATCTTTCAATATATATCACTCATTATAGCTGATTTAATTAGCAAGTTAAAATCACTTTAAATCATAAGCTCATAAAACGTACACTTGTTTTAGTTTTTATCTTGCAAATCAATGTTGAGAGACATACATATAAAGTGCAAAACAATTGTTAAATGTTAGTATAGATGGAGGGTGAGACTTGATCGACTTGATAAGTTACTTTGAAGGCATTGAAGCACTGATTGTTGCATGGAATTATCGAAAACTCTCTCGATTCTGAAATGATAATTAATAATTAGTCATACAAATTATCAATTTATTGTAATAAGTTGTAGTGTGAATAGTAAATGTGATATCATATTCATCAAAATCAGAGTGCATTGTATGATCGATCATATTCAAACATGAATAGTGGATGATAAAAGGAAACAGGAAAAATATACTAATAATCAAATATGAAAAGTATTTTGTGGATATTCATTTAACTATATTATCATAAAAATTATTTATATATTAATTTTACAATTTAATATTAACACATATTTCATTTTAACTATATACTCATTAGTTATAAGTTAAAATACTCGGTTGTACCGTGTGTATGGTACAAACGGTTATACCATATAATTTACGAATGAACTACTCCATTTATAAAGGTAAAAAGGCATAAATAATTCTTTTCTAGTTTTATCTTAATCATTTTTTTCATTCATTCTAAACAAATTTCAATTTCTTTTTTATGACATATAATTTGTGAATTATGATTCATATTATTTTCCTCTCCTCTACAAAATTATCCACCACACAATTTTCATTATCTTATGATGTTTTTCTTTGGATTGTAATCTTCTACTCTTGTCTAGTCTGATACGATCGATCTAATTCGATTTGTTTAAACCAGATATGTTCTTGAGTGGTTTGGTCTGGTGAATGTATGTTCTATGTATATTTTAAAACTCTGGAATTATCTGATCTAGTCTTGTAAGTTTAAGTATGAGTTGGTCTAGACAATGGGTCCAGTTAGAAAGTACCTGCAAAATCAATGGAAAAGGGAGTAATATTACTCTATGAAAGGACGAATACTAGGTATTGATCAGTAGGGGTGCAGTACTGTAATAATAAGTTCCTAATTATACACGTATTTATAATTATTAAAATTATATTTTTGTATTTGACTATGACAGTATTATTTCATTAATAATTGAGGGACAATGTATTAATTTATGGTGGGTATTGTGCTCCGTGTATATTGATAAACTTTTTTACAAGTTCATGTGTAGTGTACTCCATAAAAATGCTCTTAGACTTGCACTGATTTTCATGATTCATATAGTTTTTGCTTATTATAAAAATTAAGAAGAGCGGGGTAGAATGACTGAATGAATATAAAGAAATCAAATAAGTGTTGGGGGCTACCTCGGAATAGATTATAGACCAGATTTCCAATACACCTAAGGCTATGTTTGTCACAACGAGCTGGAGTTGAGGCTAATGTCTGAATTCGAGACTGTTCTTTGAATCAGAGACTATTGTCTGAAGCTGAATTGTGAAGTGCTGAATCTGAATTTCGAGTTGAATAAAATAGACCCGTTTGGCAAAAAAAACTGAAAAAGTGTTTGGATATAACAAATTACAATAAGGGACACTTTATTTAATTCTTCAATATTCTACTTCGATGACATTATTATAAATATAAATAGAAATACTCATAACAATTTGACTCAAAGACAAATAAATTTCAATACGGAACTGAATTTTCAAATCCATTGATTAACGTGGGGAATACATATAACATAGTACATACATGTATTGATTTAATAACCAATTTAGAATATTTTTCAATTATTGATTGAATCCTTTCAAAAAATATTTTTTATTGAAAAAAATATTTTCAACTACTCCGTAATCGTATATTTCATGTAGTTGGCGTGTGTATCCATAAAAAAGCATCAAACGGAAGTTCAAACAGAGCATAGTTTGCTATGAGCTCAAAGTGAAATTGTTAAGACATGGGGTTTCATCTAGGGGTGGACTCGGGCCGGGCGGCCCGACCCGGAACCGGCCCGGTTACTGTTTGGACCGGCCCGGCCCGGGGCCCGGTGGGTCCAGCGGTTTGGTTTGGCCCGGCCCGGGTGATGGGCGGTCCGGGCTCGGGCCCTGCTTTAGGCGAACCGGCCGGTCCGGGCCGGATTTTAATTTTTTTTTTTTTTTGAATTTTTTTTAAGTTTTGGGTTGGATTAGGTATTTTGGGCCATTTGAGGTGGTTTGGGGTGGTTTGGGGTTGAGGGGGAGGGGTAGGGGGTTAAATAGGAGAACAAAAAAAAATGGCCCGGTTTCAGCCCGGAACCGGAACCGGAACCGGCCACCGGCGGTTCGGGCTCCGGCCCCAGTTTTCTGGCCCGAGGCCCGGCCGGGCCCAAGCCCGAACCGGGCCCGAATCGGCCCGAGTCCAGCCATAGTTTCATCCTAAAAGGTCAACCTGACAGGAGGAGTAGCCCATGTGTTAATATAACACTTTGTTCATCCATACTTTTCCGGTGTGGGACATTTAACAACCCTCCTCACGACCAAACACTTCGTCTGGATCATGTCGTCATTCATTTTTTTTTCATCGGTCCGTTTTTTCATCCGGCCATTTTTTATATCGTGTCATCATTTTTCATAAGGGGCCCCGCACCATGGATCGATTTGGCTCTGATACCATGTTAAGACCTGAGGTTCCATCCTAAAAGGTCAACCTGATAAGAGGAGTAGGCGAGTAGCCCATGTGTTAATATAACACTTTGTTCATCCAAACTTTTCCGGTGTGGGACATTTAACAGAAATTCAATTCTTGTATGGCTAGGTACAAAGAAGCGATTGTCAGTGAAGATTCACGGAGGATGGGATTATAGCAGTGATAAAATCAAGCAAAAAAACTGCAGCGGAAAAGGAGCGATGTGTGCACTGCAGCAGACGAACCAAAGTAGAAGAAAAGATCGTAGATACGTAGGGTTATTTCCGGAACACGAGTGTAATCTAGGATCGGCTGAACACAAACGTTTGGAACAATAACGTTGTATTTCAGCTCTACTTTTTTCAATTAAGCTTGGTGTAGCCGTTTTGCCAAACAGGACTGCTTTTAAAATTATTGACCGAATTGATAAAATTTCAGCCCATTATGAGCTGAAATGGTGTGACAAACATAGTCTAAGATGGGCGATTCCACGTTTTGACTAGGGTTGAAAGTACGGAGTACTAAATATTTTATATTATTTATCGTTATAATGATTTCTTAGCATTAATCAAAACGCAATTAGTTCAAAACCAAGGTTAGAAATATCTCAAAGGTAAGCTGCAAACTACATAAGGCAGTTTTTGTGCTGAGTTAACAACTTCGCAAACCCACAGTCTCCACTTTGTAAAATTGAAATGTCATTCTGGTAAAATTGAAATATAGAACCATTGAAGCAGGATGGCAGCAATGCTATAAAATGTGACGGATAATAATCTAATTTAAACTAAGGAGCAAGGCATAACAAAATTATAATAATGACCTAGTAACAATCAGCTGATAATTAAATTTAATTAATAATATTTCACTGTCAATACAAAGCCCAAAAGAAACGCATCAGCTAACAAAATTCATCTGGAGTTGCTTCAGAAAATAAAATGCTAAGCTACAGGACTCCTGAAAATAAACAAAAAGGGCCAAAAAAAAAGTGCAGCAATTATGTAGGACAACACTTCAATGTGGGGTGGGGAGCTAATGGGCTATACACAGTGAAAAATAAAAGTTCGATGCTAAGATAATAGAGACAACATGGGAGTGTTATAATTTACCTACTCAATATTTTTCGACTTTTCTAGCTTAGCATTTTAGTAGCGCGCAAAACTGTTTTCTCCATCGGAGGGCCTCTCAGAGCATGGGAACTTGCAGAACCGTTCAAATTTCCAAAGATGAAAATCAATCAAGCAAAGGGAGATTCAGATAAAAACTTCTTCAGTGCCTCGTACGTCATGAAAACAATTCCCACACCAGGGACAACTTTGTAGTACTCGGGCATAATCCCTCTATAAAACCCTCGGAAACCTTCGGTTCGAATTATGTGCCTAAATGCCCCAAACAGACCACTGTGGTACACGCGTGCACGCCCAGCCACTCCTTCCAACTGCATTCGTCGCCTCACTAGGTCTAAAGGAAATGTCACTACATCAAGGTAAGATGCATGTCACACTTTGCCTCATTTTCATAAGTTTGTCATTATTAAATAAGTGGTTGTAGATTATTAATTATTCAATCATTACCTGTAGATGATGCGATTCCCGAAAGACTTCCGCAAGTAAGACTAATGAGAAGATTGGGATCATCAGGCCTAAGAACGAGAGGTTGGTGAATAACCTTAATAACCACTAAAAAGAGAAGATAGTGTTTATATGATGAGATGCTGTCTCAGAATTATTAATCTCACACACACTCACCTGTGAGCTAACCACTGAGATCTCAAAGATTCATAAACAGAGAAGCTTATTGCTATACTAGGTCCAACACTCTGTACTTCATCAAAAAAACAAGAGTGACATTCAATGAATCAGCTTTTAGTACAAGTAATACTTCAATAAAGAAAAGTCAGTTGGCAATTCATAGGCGTGTGTATACCAATAATGTTGCTCCAAGTCCTTTATACAGCCCAAAGAAGCCCTCATCCCTACAGATGGTGCTGATGGCATGGGAAATGCCCTGATAATAAATTGTACTCCTCTACAAAGTCATAAGAGAACCATAAGTGAACCAAATTCTCATGGTGAACATACAGTGAATGGGTGGTAAGAATTAACAAGTACACGCTTGAAGTTTTGGTGTACGCTCTTTGTATGTATGTTAATCTTTTCTAGATGAACCATAAGTCCGTAACACAAGAACTCCTAAGTCTCTCAAATCTCATTTGGATTCACGGTATGATGCAAATCCATGTTAATTGAAAATATAATGTAAATTTCCAAAATTTATTTCTGATGATTAGTCATGATTCTTATGTGAATGATCTATGATATCCACATGTATACCTAAAAGGGAAGAGCCATGGACCAGGGTACACACAAAAACCATAAAGCTTAAGTTGTACGGTTATACCTGTGCTGCCAACCTTGTTCTGACAAGATCCAAAGGGTAGGTGGCACAGGTAGCTGTCATTCCAGCTAAACCACCACCTACAAAATGCACAAGTACATCTGCACTAGCATGTCTCTCATTACCATACAAGCCTGGAATAGATTTCAGGATCTGCAAAATGCAATAACTCGGGTAAGATGAAAAGAGGTACTATATTAACTATCCTGTTAGTGAAAATATGCCACATTTTACCCACTTTCTTATAGTGTTCATAAGCGTAAAAGTTGACTGAAGAATACGGAAGTCTGTGAGCAATAGTGACAAGATTTCCCTTCCAGAAAGCTCTGAATCCTTCTTCATTTACAATCCGCAAAGCCTCACGGAATATACTTGGTCTACTTAACACTGCCACATCCGAATGCATGCCTTGGACCTAAGATTTTAAATTTTTCAAAAAGAACACAAAAATATGAGATTCTGAGATAAGGGAACACTGTTAATCTTATAACTTATAAGTGAATGATCATTTTAGGACCCTTCAATTTACTATTAATTTTTAACTATTCAAGGGAAAAAATAATCATGAACTGTTAGCTACACATTCATTTAATGGACTGAAAGGAGATCAATAAGAATAAGATATTAGGATCTCAGGCAGAAAATTGATCAAATAGAAATACTAGTAATAACCCCAGTCATGGTTGTCATTGGCGACAGTCCCGCCAAGGCATTTGTCCATGGCTGTGGAGGATGGCGCATATATTGGGTCACCACATGAAACATCTAGATTGATGTGTTCTGGTCTGGAACTAAAACCAGTCCAAGTAAAAAACATCCTGATTCAACCTCCAAAAGATGCAAAAAAAGTTGAATGCCCACATTCTAACCAAAACATGTGAAGTTGAAGTAGTTTAGAGAAGCTCCAAAAAATAAATTTATATAAAAAAGTTTCAGACCTTTTAAAATATGCCAACTTGTTTGTGTTTGATGATTATGATGTAATCATCATCAATTATCACACTCATAATCATCATCTGGACATGAATCTGATTAATTTCATCCTCATTAATTGCATCTCAGAAGGATCTTCAATCTTGTCCGTCTCATCTTTGTCTTGTAGCTGATGTGATGTGCTGTTTCCCTTTAGTCGTTCCATTCTTGTGCAACTTTCTGGCTCTGTCTTTAAGTTATTCAAGCAATTTTTCTTGCTTTATGTTAGCTAGTGTATTTGTGTACTCCTTATTAGAGTTCTATTAATATTATAGGCAGAGTGGTTAGTTAATTAATTATTAGGGTTAAAGCCCAAAAGTACCTGAGTAAACCTATTAAATTATGTTCAAAAATATGGCGCACATATGGTGCCACCACGTGTAGAGTCGTTGCCATGAGGGATATTTGTGGTGAGGCACCACATGTGCCCACCATATTGCGCCATTGACAACTATGAACTATGACACCATTCAACATCTAAATCAGTAAATCTATGTTCTACTAATCAGCACCTAGTCCTTCCTAGGCCTTAAACTCACTTGCCAAGCGCTTCTTAGAATAAAGTCAATAGGTGCTACATAAAGGGAAATACTTATATATTTGGATCAACTAAGACATAGAAATAGAAAATAAGTCCAATACCAAGAACTGAGCTTGTGCACACACACATTTGGATGTGCATAATATTTATATACAAACACAAGAGAGGCGTTTCTGAAACTATGAAAAAGCATTTATTAGTAAGAAGACAGATTTCAGGAGTGAAAAAGCTAAACAAACAACTAAGGAGTATTTCTCTAGTGAGAATAGAAACAGAGATAATCAACTGAAAAAAACATCTAGAACCCATTAATGAATAGTGAATACTGATACATTATTGCGACAGGTTGGTTTTTAAATAGAGCCATATCCGCCCTCGCTGCCACCCCCACCCCCGCCAAACTAGAAAGACACAGTTTCACAGAATCACAGCGTTCCATCTTCCATAAGCCGTTATATATATACAAATCCAGTGACACAATAAATTGGAAAAGTGGCTTTAACTAATATTTGGAGTGATATTTATCTTGATAGAGGTAATAAATAATATAAATCGTTTGTAGTGTTAACTTTAAATGAATTAACAAGGTGTTCACTATTAACCTGAAACAGAATCGTGAGACGAGCTAAGGGGGCAGTGCATGTCTTGCTGAAAGCTCCGGCAATACCACCGGCAAGAAGCTGCGGCACAGTTCCGATTTGCGTCTGCGAATTCTGTGGGTGCTGGTGCGTGTGATACTGGTGGTGTTTCAGACGCTGGTGGTGGTGCTGCGGCAGAAACGACCCGCCCTCTGCAACGCTGCCGCCGCGAGCTGACATCCCCACTCTGGCTTCCATCCTTTTTTCTCTGCAATATTGGTAATCTGTAGAAACTTCACATTTGATCATAGGTTAGAGGTTCGTTTTGATGGCGGTAAGATAAACCCTAAGGACGAGGGGTTTGTAAAACATCTTAACTACCGATGATTTTAAGAAAAAGGAAACAAAACGGTGGATATTCCTTTTTTATTACTATGTTCGTCTTTTATTCTTGGGGACAACGTCACATTAAAGGGCCTGGGCTGAGTAGTTAGTTTTATGAGGCCGGCAACCGCAACCTCATCCGTCAATAAATCTAATGTTTCACCTGTTTAAATGTATTCACTTAGTCAATTTAGTTTTTCTCTACAACTCAGCACTGTCAATATATCCACACAGCACATATTTTTTTAATTAAATGCATAAATCCTATTTTTTTTGTGTATCACTTATGTGATAATTTTATTTTTACTGATAATTATTATTTAAAAAGTAAAACATTCCGATGTAAAAAAAAAATAAAAAGTGTGAATTAATTTTTTTTTTGTAATTAAAACCAACTTGGATTCAATTTAAAATAAATTTAAAACAATTACATTTTATCTAACACTTGATCATCCTTACATTTTACAATTTGGGTCAGTTAAGCCTTTTTCATCCGCAAGCCAAGCGGTGAACGCCCACACAGCAACACCAACCATTCCTTTCCTTCCATGTGTCAGTCAAATCAGCTTCAGCCAGAGTCAATTGCCCGTGTAGGAGTCTCCCCCCTTGGTTTCCATGTGTCGCCTATGAGACCTCAGTATACAATTTGTAGTTCGGGTTGCAGTTGTCTTGGGGGGTGAAAACCTTATATTTGGGGTTTCCACTCCCCCCATTGCAATCAGCCTAAGCTCACCGTTGGAATGAGAAGGCCATTTGTTCTTGTGGAAATTACCCATATAGTTAATTTTGTGTCCCACATATCATTTACGTCCCATTTATTTCTTTTTTTCATTTTTGATCTATTCTATTTTCAATAAGGTTTTATTATTTCAATTTTAGACTTTTATTTCAATCGAGAGACGCAAAGTGGAACTTGTCGTTGGAAGGCTTCGAGAGCGAGAGTTCCAACTCTATTCTAAGAGAAGGAGATCTGTGACACCGCACCCAAACGTCCTTGAAATTCAATTTAAAATTCAAAGTTTATGTATTGAACTTCCTATTGTCAAACGAGTGTAAAACGATTAATGATTTATGTAATGCATGTTTGATCATTTTACCGTTTGAGCATGTATATTAGCGATGGACTTTCAATATTTAATTGGGCCATCTTATTAGATATAAGAGCACAATATTTTGTAAATAATAATACATAACTTTCAAGACAAGTTGAGGAAGGTTGGGCAGCCCAAACATTATTTTGGGCCCAACCTGCTAAAAATAGTAAGTATTCAAGAATGACGTTCTAGGCCCACTCAAGGGTGACCCACATGGCTAGTAGCCAAGCAATATGAATATTAATGTCATAAATAATTGATAGGATGATGAGAGAAGAATACAAATGCTTATGATCTCATATTTGACATTATTGAGCTAAATAATGGGAGTAGGTTTTCCTTCTATAATATTCATCATGTAAATTATTGGGATGATCCTACACATATTGGAGATCAATAATATGATGTAGGGAGTTGACTTGGTCTACATAAATTATAATGAGTACAAAAATACATCTTATGACAAAGATAAAACAATAGGACTCATCTTTCTGTTTTTGGAAGTATTGGTAGATATTTTGGACCCCAAATTAATTGGGATCACCTGGAGACCACCCCACACCTTTTTGGCACCTGCAAAATGAAGAGAATAAGTTAAAATTATGTTTGGGGCGGACAAAAAGGAAGGGGGCTGAGCAAGACATTATTTGGGAACCAAATGGACCCTCTCCCCATTTTGATTGAAAGGTATCTTGTTCCATCATCCCACATGCCAACCCACTCTCACCCATTGACTTTTGAGGCTAAGTGAGGGACACGATAACACTCCCACAATTCCCCATTTGGACTCCCAAAAATAAGAGAGAAGGAGAGAGCCACACAACCAAGAAAGCAAAGGAAAGAGCAAGTTGTCCGCAGGGTGGATTTCCAGTGCGTAAGGTTACTTGTTTGCTTCCTACCTCATGCAATACTCAACCAAATAAGGCGTGTGAGAGGCCCATCGAAAGATCTTAAGACGAGGAATCCTTCAAGGTCTGGTTTGCATCAATTAGAGTAGTGTAAGGCTTCCAAATCATCGGAAGAAAACACAACCTCGCAGAAACGGTTTTACCTCTTGAAAGTGAGTTGAACCTAAAACCTTTCTTTTCATTTTCCATATGATATGAACGACTGGTGGAACTATTATACACTATTCCAAGTGTATGATATGTTCTTATAAGGTTGTTTTATTGATGTAAAAGTTAGATACTAACCTAGAGCAAACCTTAGAAAAACTAGGAAATGAATTCGCCGGAAAACACCCATTCTAGGGGCTGTTTTCGTATCAACGGTTAGGGGTTGAGCTAGCACTTTGAGGAGGCTGTTTAACACTCATTTTTAAGCAAGGAATCGGTTCTTAATCCACCTTGGCCGAAGCTTTGGTCATTGGATCAAGAAGGAAAAGTTTAAAGCTCATTTGAGGTGAGGATCGACATCTAATTGATTACAACTTGTAGGTTAAGCATGAGATTACCTAAATGAATAAATCATAATTTTTCATGGATTATGATGCTTAAATATTGATGAAATATTGATATAGTTGACAATGAATGAAATTTGAAATGATTTGAGGTTGTGTGGATAATATGAGATTAAATGAGTTATTAATGAACTATTTTGTGAAATAGACATTTTACTCATGTATGAATTATGTGGATACATAAATGAATATTTATGTATTGAAATTGAATACTTAAGTTGCTGCTACATACTTATAAATATGTAGATAATTACAAAATGAGAATATTTGTAAAATGACAATAATCTAAATAGTGTTGAAATACTAGTTAGTGATTATTGGAAATTGTTGATAGAATTGATCTTAAGGATTGGATTGTATGAAATGCGAATATACTTCAAGTGTATAAAATGATTTAGTATGAGGCTAAGGTTAAGTTATGGGCAGTCCTTGAGGATGACCCAAGGTAGTTTATTGATATGTCAATTCTAGGCATGGGTTTGCTTAGGAATTGGACTTTAGTGCATGATGATGTAATAGAGTCGAGCTCTAGGATGCATGGTAAGGTGGTAGACTTGTAGTCAATGTATTGTATAACTAGAGCCAAGCTCTAGGGCTTGCACGTTGATGTAATAGAGCCGAGCTCTAGAATGCAAGGTGAAGTAATTGACCCAAATGACATGAATTGTATGGTGACGTGATAGAGCCGAGCTCTGGGATACAGTGTCATGTATTAGGGTTGGACTCTATGAGTTGTCGTGGCTTATAGTCATGGGGAATGGGATTGGTGATTTCAAAATGAACATGGGCCCACGGGCCGACTACTTGACTTTATATAAAGTAAGTATATTTTCAAACAGGGTAACTAGGGTTACAACCATAGTGTACTATCACCCTATTTGAGGGTCTTGTGTTTGAAATACTTGTTGTATATCTATTAGATGTCATCCACACCAGTACTTTATAGCCCTATAGAGTACTGACCCCTTCGGAGGCGTCCGACCACCATTTCAGGTTGAGGCTAGAGCTTGCTTCCTGTGCTCGTTGCTCGAGTGATTTTCCGGAGAGAAGATTTGGTTCGTGCTTCCTCCATTCTGTTTTAGAACATTAATAAACATGTTCATGGATATTTTACTTTAGAGCTTGTGTGCTCATGTTTGCCCCGTGTGGCATTTGATTTCAAACTATGTTTTCCGTTACGTATTGAATTGCTTATTATGTATGTTTATGGATGACTTATGTGTGAATGATATTCATGACGCCTTATATAATATGAATGTGGTTGACTATGGTTGACTATTCGTATTGTACGACGGATTGTTGACGTGTCTGGGTAGGTCCAGGGCGTGACAAGATTCCCCTGGAGCAGCATCAGGGACGAATGATCCGATTTGTATATAGAAATTGTGTCCTCTATCATCCACAACCTGGTTTGGAATCTGGGAGGATGTTTTCAGGGTCAGAAATTAAGAAATCCAGAAAATGGTGCGTACATTTATTGTTCATGCGCAGCTACTTTGGTCTCGATTCTTGAATTCCGACATTTGAATCTGTAATATGAGGGTGGTTTGGGGTTCTACACTGCTGGATGCACCTCCCACACTTGCATCGGTGGGTGGCGACATCGGTAAGCGTGAAATGTGATTAATATTCACTGTTGATTTGAGTTTCAGGTTGTTCTTTAGTTTTAAATGCTTTAAATCAAATTTAATGGATGGTTTGAGACGCACCTGACTTAAACGAGCTCACGGATGTAATGGATATCCATTGAACAGAAATGGCACATAAAAAACTAATGACGCGGAAATCCCTCACCAGGGCTTTCCAATAATTGCAATGCGGCTTGAGATCTTACTTATGATTACGGTGCCCTTGAGTCGGCCCTCAGTGGAGAGATAATGCAACTCCATCACCAAAAGCACCATTAGGCTTAAGTCGCAAACTACAATAAGGCGTTGGAGCAGCTTGAAGAGGCCATTAATATTTTTCCAATGTTCCCAAATATTTACAGCATTTTTATGTTTGAACAATTTTCCTTCTTTTAATTATTCAGGTGATGAAGTGATAGTGTACAGCTATAAGTTTACGTATATGGTTTATGGATAAGGGCCATAACTCTATAAGGCATTAGGGGCTTAAGGCTATTTTTAGGGAAAAAATCTTTGCTTAGTCTATTTTTGAAAAAAAAAATCAAGAGTGACAAAAATAATACTCCATCTGTCCCAAAGAACTTTGCCAAGTTTAACCGACACAGTGATTAATAAAGTAAAAACTGTGTGTTTGAGGTTTGTGTAAAGAAAAGAGAATTAACTGGAACCACAAATTTTTCACTTAAAAGGAAAAGTGACAAAATTAGTGAGACAAAAAAAGAAAAAGAGAAGTTGGAACAATTTTAAGGGATAAATGGAGTATTATTTTTTTCAGTCTATTTGTGAAAAATCCCTTTGTTCTTTAAACATTGTTTAGAGAAACCCAAGTTTTTATCATCTTTTTTAACAATTCTTACTTCTTTCAATTTTTCCAAA